GGGCTCTTCTCCGGGTCGTTCTCGGGGCGCTTCTCCGTTCCTTCCATCACCTCCAGTAGATCATAATGGTCAAAGATGTTCTCCATCTTGAAGGACCACTCAGCAAAGTTGTCACCGTTGAACTTGTCAAGGCCAAACACTCTAGGCTCATCCCTAGAGGGTCCAAGGCTAGGTTGCACCGGAGCAACGGGTGGATCTTGGTGTTGACCTTGTGCTTGGGCGTCTTCTCTGCCTCCAACACCTCTGCCACCCCCTTCCTCAGGCCTAAGCATGGTCGAGACGGCTCCAAGGGGCTCTGATACCACTTGTTATAATCACAATAGGCTTAGATGTGCCTATAATGAGAGATAGAGAGCACAGTCGGATTTCCGTCAGACGGCTTCAAATATTGATAACGATCTGGTCGCTGAATCAAACGGTGATCTGTAAGTTGGATCTGGAGCGTGTTGCTGTCGTTTATCAGCAGCAAGTTGAATCATGAAATTCCATGAAGATTTGTTGACGCTATAGCGGTTTGAGTGGTAGGAGGTAAAGCAGCCACTATAGTCTTAGGAGTACAAACTTAGCAAGAAGAGTTCGAGAGGGAGATGGTTCCCAGCCTCTACATACCCCAAGAGTCGAGGTCCAGGTTGGTGGTACACCACCACAGAGTCCCCAACCATGAAGAGTCTCGAAACCAACCCTCCAAGGGGCTACACCAAGTGAAATGTAACACTACACGAAGTAACGTTACTATTTTCACTATTTAATATTTATCCGCTTCCCTTGGGCCTGAAATCTTGAGCTCTTGTTCTTGGATCTGCAAGATAAATTCTTCTTGAGTTGATGGGGGCTTGCTGCACACACCTGCGACACGATGGACACTTCACACTCAACAAAATAGAAAAAACACATGCGACACACAAACGACGACTTGACATGCGAGTTGTAGAAACTCGCTAATGTCTTGACAGACACAAACCACATTGTGATACACCATTCAAACACACACACAAGCACTGGATAGCAATGACATAGACTCACAATTCATTCCATGCCATGCATGCACACACACAAACAAGGACGACAAGCCGAGTGCAAGCCATAGGGTTGCACCAACAGAGACCTCGGTGAGGAAAGCGGTGGAAAAAGGCGACAGACTCGTCAAAAGTGACGTCGCGGGAGTGAAGGAAGTGGTGAGAAGAAGGGTGGTAGAAGTGCCAGTCAGACGAGTCAAGGGGGAAGCCGAGGAAGACACAGGGGACGGTGCGGGTAGTGAGCTTGTCCGTGCCGGAGGCCCAAACGTGAGCGAGGCAGCCCCAGACGTGGAACGCAGACGCGTCACCAGGGAACCCGGACCAAAGAAGGGTCGACAGAACCTGCAATCGCTGAGAGCGAGGATAGAGGTTAAGCTGGTGAGCGGCGTAACGAATGGCGAACGGCCACAGAAAATGGGGTGCACCGGCATGGATCATGGAGGTACGAGCCACCTCCATGACCAAACCGATGTGTCGCTCAGCGACCCCATTCTGCTGCAAGGAGTCCGGTAGGGTGTACGTCTGGGTGATACCCTCCTCACGACAGAACTGACCCAACCGACCAGAGGCGAAATCGCCGCCACGGTCAGAGTGGAGACACAGCTCAGGGAGAACGTGGTGGAGGCACGCAGCGACGAGCCACGGGATAAGAACGTTAGGCACGTCGGCCTTCCGCTCCAGGGGAATCACCGTGGTGTAGCGCGTGAAGTTGTCAACGAGCACCAGAAAGTAGCGCTTGCGACGCGGTCCAGGGACAGGGGCTGGGCCCCAGACATCCAACTGTAGGGTCTGAAGGGGTGTAGTGGCAGGGCGAAGTGAGGAGGAGTGAGAAGCACGGCGCAGCCGGCCATCGACGCAGGGTGTGTACGGCAGCGCAGGCGAGGGAGGGAGAGCAGGGAGCGATGCAGGGAGGCCGAGGACTAGACCGTGCTAAGACATGTGACGCAGGCAGGGGAGCGCGGGGTGACCTAGGCGGTGGTGCCACAACAGTGACGGGTGAGTGGGCGACTGATACGAGCAGGCCGCAGCTACCTGGGTGGACGCAAGACCGGAGGAGGACTCGCCCGCCGGGGGGGGAGCAGTGTCCAGCGTAAACAGGCCTGACAGAGGGTCCCGAGGGAACCTGAGGCGGCCCTGAAACAGATCGCGTACTGGTCGTGACCAGGGAACGTAGTGGTGACGCCGAGGTCGTGAAGACAGATTTTGCCAACTAAGTTCCTGGAGAACGAAGGGATGTGCAGGCTTGTAAGGGAACCCAAGGGAACCGCTGGACAGAGAAGGGTAACGTAGCTGCAAGCAACTACAGGACCAGAGGAGGGGTCCGCAAGGGCGACAGCGGCACGCGCAGCTAGCGGCGTGAGGGCGGCGTGGTCGCGGAAGAAACAGGCTGACGCACCAGAGTCTAGAGTGAAGGACAGCGACGCCGTAGTGGCCGACGACGGAGAAGCAAGGGTAGAGCCTAGGCTAGACAAAGCAAGCTGTCCTACGCCTGACGCAGCAGGGGAGTCTGGACTACATACAGGTGCTATGCCTAAGCTAGAGAACAAAGAGTAATACGATCCGGAAAAAATCGGAGCGTCAGCATACAGAGAATGCAAGGCAGAACTAATCTGATCCATGTCTAAGTCAAACATAGGCACACCATGGCGCAACAGGCTGGGCCAGTCAGGGAGGTCCGTGGCGGGACCAAAGCGGTGGTGGAAGAGGTCGTCGAGGTGGCAGAAGCAGTGGGCAATGGGGTGCGAGCGGCGGCACACCGTGCCACGCAGGGGCCCGGTCTGAAGCTGGTACTGGCAGCTCACAGCACCAAAACTGCCGGTGGACGCAGAGCTGCGAGGGCCACCACTACGACCACCACCGCCAGGGGCTTCTAGCCACCCCGGCAGGAGACAAGCCCACGGTTGCTGCTGCTGCTACTGCTGTGAAGGCTGCTGCTGCTGTGACGACTGCTACTGCTCCTGGGCACCAGCACCAACCCCCTCGTCAGAACCACTTTCCCCGCCACCACCACCACTAGCGCCACCTCCACGTCGTCCCTTGGGGACACGGCGGCCCCGGCGTTGGCGCTGCTGCGGGTACGCTGCAGCCGCTGTCTTAGGTGCATGCACAGTCGTGGCAACTGCGGCTGAGACGTCAGCGTACGTGCACTAGGAGAGGGCATAGCCTTGAAAGATAGGGACTGCCTCAACACCGCTCGACTGAGCGTTAGTGCGCTGGCGAGTCTCTATCTCAGACACAGTATTGACAAAGGCGGTCAGGGTGAGGTCGGCAGGGTGCTGACTAAGGTAGTGGTCGTGGGCAGTGGCTAAGCGGTCAGGCAGGCGCATGGCGATGAGGTACAGGGTAGCGCAGAAAGGTGGGGGAAAGGCAGTAAGCTGGGCGGCAGCGCTGGCAGCGCGGTAGTTGGTCTCTAGTGCACGGAGGTGAGTAGCGAGGTCAGGTACTGTGGGGAAAGTAGAAAGATCAGGGAAGAGCATGGGTAGGATCAAGCGGCCAGCAGAGGCGGAAGCAGGTGTGGAGTAACGCTTAACTACTGCAGCGAGAAAGTCCTTGGCGTTCGGGACAGCGGTAAAGCACGGACGCTCAGACAGGGGGAGGGTATGGCTAATGGCAAGCTGGGCTACTGCGTTGCGAGAATAAAAAAAGCTCGAGCAAGCGCATCAGCAGCAAAAGCCTCGCTCTGAGCAGTGGTAGGGTCAACAGGGAGGGCATCAGGCGCAGAGGGGCGGGGAAGCAAACCATCAACATGCATAGCTAGGGAGTGCCCATCCTGGCACTGACCTGTCAGGTGCCGGCGGAGGTCAACGAGCCAGGCGGCGAAGTCGATCGCGTGCCCTTCAGTGTCCAAGCGAAGAACGGCGTCCGCTATCGCACAGTGTGACAGCGGCACAGCGGTTCAGCGCCGCAGCGACTCGGTGGCTCGGCGGCACGGCGGCTCGGGGATACGGTGGCACGGTGGCTCGGCGGCTCGGCGGCACGGCGGCTTGGTGGCACGGCGGCACGGCAGCTCGGCGACTCGGCGGTGCGGGTGCTCGGCGGCTCGGGGACACGGCGGCACGGCGGCTCGGCGGCTCGGCGGCACGGCGGCTCGGGGACATGGCGGCTCGGCGGCTCAAGGGCCCGGCTAGGGCACAAGGGGCCGGCTAGGGCACAAGGGCCCGGCTAGGATGGGCGGGGCCGGCAAAGGCGCGTGGGGCCGGCTAGGGACGCGGGGGGTGCTGGTAGGAGCACGAGGGGCCGTAGGGGCGCGAGGGGCCAGCTAGGGGCGCGAGGGGCCAGTAGGGGCGCGATGGGGCCGGCTAGGGGCGCGAGGGGCCGGTAGGAGGCGCGACGGGTCCGGCTAGGGGCGCGAGGGGCCGTAGTGGCGCGCGGAGCCGGCTAGGGGCGCAAGGGGTTCGTAGGGGTGCGACTGGGCCGGGTAGGGGCGCGACAGGGCCGTAGGAGCGCGACGGGGCCGGTAGGGGCGCGACGGGGCCGGCTAGGGGCGCGACGGGGCCTGCTAGGGGCGCGACGGGGCCGTAGGGGCGCGTGGGGCCAGCTAGGGGCGCAATGGTCTGGTAGGTGGCAGCACGGGGCGGAAGCGAGTGGGTGGACCTACCTACTCGTGATACCATGTTGAGAACGGAAAGAATGAATAGAAGATGGGAGAACAGCGGAGATATAGCGTTTGTGTTGTACCCACTAAGAACATACCCTATCTAGCCTATAACTTCTACATAACAATATATGTATAAGTTAACTCTCTTACCTATTTATTTGCATGAGAGAATTGCTCTTTCATTTCAGGATTCTATCAAGCTGCTACGCAACCCCAACGACGCGTTGGCGTCGAGCCTTGTTCTACCTTCAGCAAACTTTCCCGCCATTTTTATCCCACTGGACTTGGCTCGGCGGCTCTAGGATGGACAAACTCTTCGCGCAAACTTTTCGTGCTGCATGTTCCATTGTCGATATGAATTGTGGCGATGGATTTTGGCGACGGACGAACCTATCGCGATATTTGCGAAACAGTAACCCTTCCAATGTCCGTACCGTAATCGAGATCACGAATTGGAGGTCCCACGCCCTTTGTGTTGGATGCAACTCTATTCACTTCCGCCAATCCGCGTCCACCGATCTACTGCTCCCATACGCGTTCGGAAATGGCGCCCACCACCATGCTCGCCTCGCGAGCCGTGCGACAAGGGCTGTGCGCCTCCTTGAACCTCAACTACATCGACCGCGCGAGTAGCAGCGATTGTCGTCCCTTTGCTACCAGCGCGCACCCCGCACCCGCAGTTGCCTTGGTCTCGAGCGCGGGAGGTTTCGAGCGTGGAGGCTGTGGTGTGTCCGCGCGCGCGGCAGCCCGTGCGTGCATGCCGCCAGGAGGCCCGCGTGACGCGGAAGCCGGCGGCGAGAGCAGCAAACGCGGGAGTGCGTGCAGCGAGGGAGGGCGCATTGCGGGGTGGGCGTGCATCGAGCGGTGCGGCGCGTGCTGCCAGCTGGACAAGGGCGAGCTGGCGCCGCCCGTGGAGACGATTCTGCGCGACGCGGGCGAGCTGGCGGTGAGGGGCTGAGTCGCGGGTCGGAGGCTCTGGTGGCCGGAGCCTCCCGGGGGATGGCGCCGTCCGCAAACCCCTGCCATCCCGTTCCCCTCCATCCTTGCGTCCTGCGGTCGCTTCTTTTCCCCCGCCTCCATGGTGTTCACATGCGGCGCTCGAGTGCACTGATCCGTGTGGCGCCCCCCTTGCGTGGCGTGGCAGATGTACCGCAGCATGGTGGGGGACGACGGGTGGTGCCGACACTACGACAGGCAAACACGAGCCTGCAGCATATATGAGTGTGAGACACACATGGAATCGCACGAACCACGGGCCATGCAGCCAGCGCAGGCGGCACTCCACTCGTCCTCAGTATCAGCTGGCTCGCCCTCCATGCGCTGTGAGGTGCAAGCACGTGCCGTGAGCTGCAAGCACGTGCTGTGAGGTGCAAGCACGTGTTGTGAGGTGCAAGCACGTGCCGTGAGGTGCAAGCACGTGCCGTAAGGTGCAAGCACGTGCCGTGAGGTGCAAGCACGTGCCGTGAGGTGCAAGCACGTGCCGTGAGGTGCAAGCACGTGCCGTGAGGTGCAAGCACGTGCCGTAAGGTGCAAGCACGTGCTGTGAGGTGCAAGCACGTGCTGTGAGGTGCAAGCACGTGCCGTGAGGTGCAAGCACGTGCCGTGAGGTGCAAGCACGTGCCGTGAGGTGCAAGCACGTGCCGTGAGGTGCAAGCACGTGCCGTGAGGTGCAAGCACGTGCCGTGAGGTGCAAGCACGTGCCGTGAGGTGCAAGCACGTGCCGTGAGGTGCAAGCACGTGCCGTGAGGTGCAAGCACGTGCCGTGAGGTGCAAGCACGTGCCGTGAGGTGCAAGCACGTGCTGTGAGGTGCAAGCACGTGCTGTGAGGTGTAAGCACGTGCTGTGAGGTGCAAGCACGTGCTGTGAGGTGCAAGCACGTGCCGTGAGGTGCAAGCACGTGCCGTGAGGTGCAAGCACGTGCCGTAAGGTGCAAGCACGTGCCGTGAGGTGCAAGCACGTGCCGTGAGGTGCAAGCACGTGCCGTGAGGTGCAAGCACGTGCCGTGAGGTGCAAGCACGTGCCGTAAGGTGCAAGCACGTGCTGTGAGGTGCAAGCACGTGCTGTGAGGTGCAAGCACGTGCTGTGAGGTGCAAGCACGTGCCGTGAGGTGCAAGCACGTGCCGTGAGGTGCAAGCACGTGCCGTGAGGTGCAAGCACGTGCCGTGAGGTGCAAGCACGTGCCGTGAGGTGCAAGCACGTGCTGTGAGGTGCAAGCACGTGCTGTGAGGTGCAAGCACGTGCTGTGAGGTGCAAGCACGTGCCGTGAGGTGCAAGCACGTGCCGTGAGGTGCAAGCACGTGCTGTGAGGTGCAAGCACGTGCTGTGAGGTGCAAGCACGTGCTGTGAGGTGCAAGCACGTGCTGTGAGGTGCAAGCACGTGCCGTGAGGTGCAAGCACGTGCCGTGAGGTGCAAGCACGTGCCGTGAGGTGCAAGCACGTGCCGTGAGGTGCAAGCACGTGCTGTGAGGTGCAAGCACGTGCTGTGAGGTGCAAGCACGTGCTGTGAGGTCAAAGTACCTTTGACCACCCTACCCAATAGTGTATCCTATCATGCATCATATGCCAGACGTCATGTTCCCATCCATGTGCATGTGTCAATCGCCAGAAGTCATGTGCTGAGCCTATTCATGCCGCCCTGCCTTGCTCCATCTTTCCCTACTTCTGCATCTGCCCCCCTTGCCTGCAGCCCGCCCCCGGTTCTGCAGAGTGCAGGCAGACGTGTTCTGGGACCTGTACCGCATTGCACCCCACCAACTGGCGTCCAGCGCCAGAAGGTGTGCTGGCGGGCAGCATGGGGGTGGGGTGAGGGGTGCTGCTGGGTGGTAGGCACTAGGGAGCCTATGGGACGTGAATGTAACCTATTGGGCCTGTGCCCTGTCCCCCTTGCTGCAACTTCCCATCGCCCCTGCAGTGCTCCTCTTCTCCCAGCAATCCCTCACGCACATTCTTCCCTCTCTATCCCCCCCAGCTTTTGCCGCGTGTCCATTGCCGATGTGTACGGGCCACGCTCTGACGAGATGAAGCGATTCAAGGCAGCCAATGGGAAGAGCCGGGGAGATGCAATGCAGCGATGAGGTGCTGTGGCCTTTATGGTGCAGGCCACAGGGGTGCATGGCGGGAGAGTCAGCGGGAAACACACAAGGCTGCTGTGGTGGGAGGGAACACCACATTCTCTATGGGTAGCGGAATGGACTAGAAAAGTTGGTACAGGGTAGTTTTGTGCTAGCTGTTGTACACTCTATGGGCATGCACCTAGCTAGCCTCTAATCATATACAATATGTGTTGGTGTTTCACATTTATTCCAATATCTCTGTGCATGTACGCCGAAAGAATTTGAAAGGTGGTGCAGGAGACTAAGTATAGAATGTGCAGACACAAGCACTTGAAGTAGAAAGTAAAACTGTAAGTACCTCCAGTAACAGCCAGTACCGTAATCTCCCGGCAATAGGACCCTAGGTCTTGCAAAATATTCAAGAAAAATCGTATGGGTGGACATCAAAACGGAAGGTGATTTTTAAGCCCCATGTTCATTTATTTATTACGTAAGGAGCCTAGCTTTCGTACCGTAATCCCCCGTATATAACACCCGCCGAAATAGTCACTCCGCGGGTGGTTTATGCAGGGGAGAGCTTATGATGATAGGGATGTTGAGTGACCCGCTGGGGTTGCCCTTGAGATCCTCGGGGAAGGGCCACAGGTGCAGAGCCTGGGGGGCTATGGGCGCACTTACCCGCTATTCAACAAGCCCTTTTAACCCAGTGGTTAGTGGCTGGGTTTCTGACATGGTATCAGAGCCAAAGGTCTTGGGTTCAACTCCCAGTGCCAGCGCTGCAGAGGCGCTCGTGTCTTCCACCTATCCCAGCGGGGGGGGGGGGTGTTGAGTGACCCGCTGGGGTTGCCCTTGAGATCCTCGGGGAAGGGCCACAGGTGCAGAGCCTGGGGGGCTATGGGCGCACTTACCCGCTATTCAACAAGCCCTTTTAACCCAGTGGTTAGTGGCTGGGTTTCTGACAAGGGAGGGAGAACTTAGGAGAGCACCCGCTTTTCGGGGGCTGGATTTTACATAACACCCTCCTCGTTTTATGCAGCAAAGAACAGTATTTCGTAGTTTTTCAACCTCAGCTCGATTGAGAAAAATAACGAACAGGATGAAAAACGCATTGTCAACTACCATTAGCAGCGAAAAAACGGGCAGAAACATCAACACAAGTTGCAGTGCGAAATCGAAACGTCAGCAAAGGTCGAGACTCGGGAGGATTTCAACCGTCGAATTCGCGGATTCTGTTGAGATTTGACGGTCAGTCAGAATCCTCCCGAGCGAAATCCTCCCGTCGAAGTCGCGGATTCTGTCGCGATCATGACGGTCGCTCGCAGGTGCCGCACAAACCTGGCCCTGACTACAGCACTCAGCAGGGATTGGCCAACGACGATTGGTTTGTGAGTTTTGTCGTCGCAGATGCTGAACCTCACTAACAGTCGCTCCGCGCATTTTTGAACACACATGGCCTAAAACACTCAAATTCAAATTGCATTTTACATAACACATGTATTGGAAATATCTCAAAGGACTTAAGCGTTTCTGAAGTGTAACACTACACTCGAGGAAGATCACAACGGGTACGCAAGTCAACGGAGGTTACACGAGGGGATGGACAAAGAACGCGAAGGGACTTGAAGGGTCGCAACTGGAGGTTGCGATCGACCGTTACAACAGCGCGGATGGTAACCGAAGCGACAATCGAGTCGCTGTGCGACTCGATAACCGCTCCTGCAACTGTATTCTACAACCGCTTTACTTTCCTATTTTCTTATATGTTGCTGTATGCTTGTCTCTTTAATCAATCACTTGTTCTCATATACTAGTACAAGGGTTCAACCACTCAACTTCCGCTGCACTACTCAAGTCTTTTGCAACTGGGACTTAGTCTCTGGAAAGATCCCAAGGGTTTTTCTCAGCCCAACATGGTATGAGAGCTGGTCAGAGACCAAACTCCCAGCAACTACGTTCTATCTACAATCTGCAATTCAACGACTTCATTGATTACAAGACATGGACAGCAAGGGCAAGAAGACCTCTATGGGCTCACCCAGCGCCCAAGACATTCAACCCGGCAACTCTGAATTGCATACTTCAAGACTGCAAACCGAGACCGGCGCTGCTCAAGAAACAACAGGAAGAGCACCAGAGATGGTGACCCCATCACCCTCTTCAAGCGTGGACCCGAACCTTATGGAAAGGTTCTTCAGGTTCATGTCGCACTTCGACCAGCAGCAGCAGACAAGGACACCTGTGCATTCAACACAGAGCAACGGAGGAAACATGGGAGTAGCGCCGATGAGCCTCGACAACTCATCGTTCGGACGACACAATCAAGCGCCTACCTTTGCGCCTTATCACTCTTCACCGGGGACGTTCGAGTTCATGCCGCCCCGTGCCCAACCAACAGCAGCTGCATCACAACAAACACCAAACGGGATTTTAAGTCTCCAGGCACAGTTTTCACACGTGATTAAACTGCAGACATCCTCACCATTCAACGGACACGATTTCTTTACCTGGAGTTTTGAGTTCGAGCTGCTGATGGAGGCTGCGCATCTCCTGGGATACTTCAACGGGTCCCTGCCATTCCCAAGCAACGGCACTGCAAAGGAGCAAGAAATATTTACTTATCAGTCGCTGCTGGTGTACACAGTTCTCCTGCGGAACCTGTCACCACAAGAACAGCAGAGCATCAGAACATATCGGAGCTATGGAAACTCCGCGGAACTCGCATGGCATCATCTCAAGTGTCTCTATCAAGGAAACGACAGCGTGACACAAAGCAGACTCATGCAACAGCTGACAACAATACAGATGAAGACCGGGGAAAAGGCGATGCAGTATATGAGTCGCTGCCAGACCCTCCGCGACCGCCTGCTTCGGTGCGGAGGAACAATCACTGAAGAAAGCTTCGTGATGCTTGTCCTCGCCGGGCTCGGGCCAGAATGGAGAACCACACGCTCGCTTCTTCGCGCCCACGGAAGGATCTCGGAGATGCACCTCTGCGCCGAGCTTTACGCTGAACAACAGGAGATGGACCTGTTCGAAGAAAGACAACCAAGGAAGCAAGAGCAGTTAGTTTTCTACACTCAACGAAGGAACGACAACAACTACAATCGACGCGGCAAGCAAGATCAACGCGACAACAGAGGACTCACCATCGTGCCGCCGTTCTGCCACAACTGTCAGACTTCCGGACATTCCAAAGTCAACTGCACACGTCCTCGTGTTTATCGTCCAGTAGACCCACACGTCGCCTCCACTCAAGAAAGCCCTCCAAGGCGCTCTTCCACATCTGCACAAGGAACACCAAACATCATTAACTGCATGGTACACATCAACAACTGCGCACCCGGATCACCACCCACTTACGCACCAGACGAAGAAGAACTTCCGCCGCCGCGCTCACAAGGACTTCAGGTCAACCCGACATACGATGCGGTCGCCAACGCCGAACCCACCGGGCGAAACACCTGGTTCTTGGACAGCTGTTGCGGTCAACACATGTGCTCTTCCGGACGCTTCGTGCAACGAGAGCGACGCCTCAACCGCGACGTCATCATCACCGTCGCCAACAACGAAAACCTGAAAACAAACAGACAAGGCGTGGTTCAGTTACAATCCATGGAGACTAATGTTATCCTTCAACTCAACAAAGTCCTCATCGTCGACAACTTGGGATACAACTTACTAAGAGTAAGCCAGCTAATGGCAAAAGGGATTCACCTGGAGTGCGACTCCTACTCCAACGAGTTTCGCCTTTACCACGGGAAGGGCGGTCTCTTCATCGGTCGTGCTCTCCTGAAGTCCGGCGTCTTCGTATTGGACTTCGTCCCTGACCGCGGTACTGCCGACAGCGACGGAATCGTGTCGTTCGCTGCCTGGACACACCCGCCGGATCTTGACCCCGACTTCGACCTTGACGGATTCTGGCACTCCAACACCATACCTGCAGCAGAGAGAACACGAGCGTTAGCAGTCATCAGACAAGAACGACAAGTACCAGCAAGTGTTCCTTCCCAATCATCACCTGCAGTAGCAGCAGCAGGACCCAGCCGAGTACAACCACCAGCGATCCGAGGACCGCCAACCGAAGCAGATCAACTTATGCCCATCACACGAGAAGTTTGTCGAAGTCCCGCCACAGTCGTCGTGTTCTTCTCCAACACCGACATATACTACCGCTCGCCCGGCCATCGCGCTCCCGACGACATCTGGCACCAACGACTCGGGCACCCTGCAAATAGTACAATACTGCAAACCATCCAAGCCGAAGTGTTAGAACGCAACGCTCTCCTAACAACGAGCGGCCAAGAACTTCGACGACCACGCGCACGGTGCTTTACGTGCCCCGAAGCCGATCTTCCCCACCAGCCTTTCGCATCTCATCACAACCCAAGCGCACCCGCATACGCACCGATGGAAAAAGTCTACAGCGACATTTTAAACATGCCTCGAGAAGACGCTGAAGCAGACTTCAACTATGTCATCACGTTTATCGACGCAGCAACAAGATACGTCTGGCACTACAACCTCAAGACGCGCGATCAAGCCTTCGACGCCTTCACGACATGGCTACCCATCGCCGAACGAGAATCCGGAACCAAGCTCAAGAGCTTCCAGTCAGACGGTGCACTGGAATACCAGTCACAACGCTTCAGGACCTATCTGGCGGAAAGAGGAATCACACGCCTAGTGTCTCTGCCCTACGCTCACCAGCAGCAGGGGGTCGCAGAACGCATGAACCGGACCTTGCAGACAACGATGTGAAAGCTGCTCCTGGGGATGAGACTGCCCACCACACTGTGGCCAGACGCGATGACACATGCAGTCCACCTGCACAACCTGTTGTCCTCATCATCGCTTCCCAACAACGCATCACCGCACCTGCTGTGGACACAAAAAAGGGGCAGCACAAAATTACTTCGCGTTTTCGGCTGCATGGTACAGTACAGACCCCACACAGCCCGAGCAGGACGCTTCACTCAACGAGCTCGGTGGGGACTACACCTCGGCATCGCAAAACATTTTCACGCATGGAAAATCCTCGACATACAAGACAAAAATACAGTGGCATCACGTGACGTTATCTTCTACGAGCGACTGACGCTGCAGCATTACCTGGACAACATTGCCAACACACACGACCCCACCGACGGCTTCGCGGGCCTTCGTTCCTTCGCCGACCGTGCTGCCGAGGCTGACGCAGCAGAAGAAGACGTACCTGGAGCCTCGGAAGCTGATGGACCACTCCCTTTCTGTTCCGTACCTGTTCCACTCGACG